TTTATGAAGTTCTAGAGATTTTTCCTTCAGTGACGTTGGGACATTAGCCAGCTACTTTTTTGGAGAGGGGAAAAGTTCCTTTGAGTCCTGCAATTTTGGAGTGGGTGTGTCTATGTGTGTGTGGAATAGTTGGTGAGATGCCCCTTTTGGATGGCATAATGTTTGTAATTAGTCACAACTGCCAGGAATCTCTAGATAAATGTGCAAAACAGGGTCATATAAGTAGCTTAAGAGAAACGTATCAAGAGCTCTTGAATAAGCATTTCCCTAGATAGTACTAGTTGCTGCATTATTAATCCTTGGAATTAACCCAAAGACAGTTTATTATGATACGTACTAGACATTGAATTCGTTCTCTCTTAAAATTGATATAGTTTTTCCAACATTTTCTTTTTGCAGTCTTTTAATCATTCTAAAAGGCTTCCACAAATATTTTTCTTTTCTGACAAATATTTATCTGTGCAATTTTCTTTAGCTGTGCAACCATTCATAAAGTTTTCTGCTTATTTAAGCACTATTTCCATTTCCTTGACTATTTATTTCCACACGTGAATTCTTCGTGACAAATACGTGATATATATTGTTGTACCTCATCAGGCATAACATGCGCGACATGAAGGTATATACATATATATATAAGTATATAGTTTGAAAATGCGCTTTGTGGGGGAGAGGTTTTAGGTAGGAAAACACCAGACGAGGGTGATACTCCAAGGGAGTGGATGGAGTTGTTCCTTTGGGGACAAGTACAAATGCTCCTAACATATTTCATGCTGAAAGGAAAACCCAACAAGCAGCAGAAAAAAAATATATAGAGAAAAACACCAAACAATGGAAAACAGATTTGTTTTGCTTTGATAGTTTCTATGGCAAAGTTTTTGATGGAATTTTTTGATTTTCACAGCTTAGTAAGTTGCGCTGATTTAATCTTTTGCTTTTTTACGACAGTTTGTTTTTGTTTGCAGTAAATAAAGCTTAAGAAACAATATATCTTGACATTAGTTTTAGAAAAGTTCAATAATAGTACATTCTAGCTATCATTTTGAATTTAATTGCTACTGCAATTTCACATCCGAAATCTAGACCAGTTTTTTGTGCAGTACTTCCGCCAATGAGGTACCAATTTGTCTTTATTTTTTTTTTTAGCTCAACTCGAGTTATATATCTTTACAACAGGCCGCCTCAATTGAATGAGTTTTGTTCGTCGAAAAAGCCTGACAAAATGTCACGCTGCGATTGTGCCGATAGCAAAATCTCGTTCTCATTTTCAATTGGGCAGGCAGCAGAAGCAGAATATTCTATGGAAAATCCCTCAATCCCTTCCTCCGAGATTTCCCTTCCATTTGCCGCTGCATTGCGCCGGAGCTTCTTTTGTCTCAAGTGCATTGCAGTTGGAATTGTGTCTAGAGTGGGCTGTGCACTCGACGCAAAAGGCAGCAGAAGCAGCAGCAGAAGCAAAAAAATCACCAAATCACCCCAAAAGCCGAAACTGAACTGAAATGCAATGAAATGAGTGGAAAAGAATTGAATTGAAGGCAGAGCTAGCTTCTCCCCAAGCGCAATGCACTTTGCTGATTATTATTGCAGTTTTTTTTTAGTGACGCAGCTGTAATCAATTTGACATAGATTTTTTGTTAAAATCAATATGTGGGTTTGTCACGAGCTTGACGTTGACCAGGGCTAGGGGCCACTCAATATTCCCCCTCAATTAACACACACACAAAGGGATCTCAAATTTAGTTTAAATTTTCTCTGTTTGGTCAGCAAACAAACAATCAAACAAGCAAACATTTCCTTCTCTGCAAAAAGGAAATTGTTTGTTTTCTCTTTTTTTAGTCCCCCCCCTCAAGTTTTATTTTTTATCATTGAATTTGGGTCTTGTCTCGTATTTCTGAAATATTTCTCCTAAATTGCATTTTATTTTTTTATTCGCTGCTAAGATAATTTTCAAATACTGTAGTCTTTCGTGTGGTCTATCAGAAAATATTTTCCCACATTTGCATTGATTGTACGAGGCAGCAGCTGTGCAGCCGGCGAAATGTTCACATGTCCATATTGCATGTTTGAAGCGAACTCCTGCTTTTTGCCACCATGCCACATAAATTGCATTTTTAGGCAGGCCAAAACATGTTGCTTTCGTTGTTTATGGGGAGGAATTGGATTCGATGTTGTTTAGTTGTATGTTTTTATTTTGTTTTTGGTTTGGTTTGGGTTGGATCGATGGAGTAGAGAGGTGAATAATACTCTAAACTATATTTTATGCTAAAAATATATGTTTTTAAATATTTTATTTTATTAAATTTCATTAAATTTTTGCTATTTTTGAAAGGATCTATCACGTAATCGCGGATCATAAAGTTTTTTCTGAATAAAAATCACAAATTAATATTTTTAATTTACAAAATCAATATTTTAACCTTGAAGTATCGATATTTTATACGATTTGAAAATGTTTTGTATTTGATCAAAATCGAAATATTTTACAAATTATATAAATGTTTTATATATCTCCAGTTAGTTTGTTCTTTTGACCAAAATGGATCAATTCAAAATAATCAAATCAAAAATCTGGCAGAGTATACAAACTTCGGTTAGCTGAAATTAGTTCTTTTTTTGTTTTTCTGATATCCAGCCTTTTAAATTATTTGTTTACTCATAACGTAATTCCTTAAATGTTTATGTATCTTAACATCTTAAAAATATTTTTTTAAATATATTTTTCCTTTAATTTAGTTGTAAATATTTTCTTCAGTGCATAAACTACGCTTTTAATTTGATTTTTTTCTCGCCGCCATATAACAACTCTCTTGAGACTCTCTTATCTGGTCAACACTCGAGTTTTGCTTTGATTCATTTGCGGTTTTTGTTTAGAGTGATGCAAACGCAAATGTTTGCTTTGCAACTGATAAATCTAGTTGATGGGAAAGTTCTATCATGGTTACGAGGGGATTGTGAATTTAGTCTCTATCTAAAGGCACGTGATATTTACAAACCAAAAGCATTTTAAATTTATGAATCGGTTTCTTATTTTCGAGGTTAAATTGCAAAGAAAGTGATATGAAAATGATTGTATAAGTTAAATAAACATCAGGGAAATGTAAGAACTATATTTAAATATTAATATTATTGTTTGCTAAATACAGATGATAAAAATCTTAGATTAAAGCCAGGGGATCTTGTTATATTTTATTTCCTATTTAAGATCTTGAATTGTTTTAACACTTTTTGTTTTAATTTCATTTTATGCTATCTCTAAGTACTCGGATCTAAAATAAACACGAGAAGTGTGTACATGACCCTCGTCGCTTGAATGCTCCTATTTTATTTTTATTTTTATTTGGGGCGTACCTCTTCAAAACGGAGCCAGAGAGATGTACAGAAAACGAGGGACAGCTGCTGGAAAATATGGAAAAAGAGAGGCTAAGGCTCAGCTGACTGATGGTTGAAAACCGAAAGTGATACATCTGCTGTTTGGTCTAACGAGCCGAGTGCCGCCTGTTAGGGTCACAGGCCCCTCGCGCTAAAAGTAACCACCTTTTGCAGGGTGCCAAGGAAAATAAGAAAATGCCTTCAAGGCTCGAGGTGAAATCCACACACACATCCTGCGACCGAGACTGTTCTCGCTTTGACTTTCGTAAGCAGGTCACGTGAGCACGAAAAAAAAATAAATAGAAAAAAAGGATAAAAACGAGGGGAGCCGCTGACAAAGGGAAATCTTGGCAAATTCGTCGTAGGGGTGGTCGTCCTGCAAATGCGATTGCCCCAAAGAAAATGGGGGGCGTCATTGTCCCTACTCCATCGCCGCCCACTGCGTAAAATAAAATACAGAACAAATTCGCATATACTTTTATTTTTCGTTTCCTTTTTTGCCCTGCTTTAGCGCATTTCCTTGGCCGTTTGTCGCTTCTGGCCGACAATTGTTTCAACGTGTTTGAAATATCTTAGCCAAAAAGCTCAGGGTCTGGGTCTGGTTTATGCCCCTCGGTTTGTTAAGTTTTGCTTTTAGTGCCTTTTTGTTTTAATGCATATATATATAAATAAATATATATATTTATAATCATTCGTCCGATGTCTGATTTTGTGCATATTAAAATGAAGTTTCTGCCGGGGTTTTATATTATATATACGAGAAATGGTCTTATACATACAAACATAAAATCAATATTTGCTTCGCGTCGCCGTCGTCATTTCCCATTCATTCTCTGGTGTTGCTGGTCTTTTTGATACCAATTTATTTTTGGGGAGTACTAAGGAGAGTTTATAAATAATATTTATTGTTTGAAAAAATATTAAAATATTTTAGGCATATTTAAAATGCATTTTATTAATTTATACCCGTTTCAAGTATTGTTTCTATCAATATTTAAATGAAAATTGAACAATAACGACTTTCATATGAATGATTAAGATTTAAGATTGTTTTTACTTATTTTAAAGGGAATATGATATAGAAACATAAGGAAAGTGATTGTTTCTATCAAACTAAATAGGAAAGGCTTAATAGCCTTGGGTTTGTTCTTAAATCAAAAGGAATGTAATCTTGATATAGATTGAAAAATGATGTTTGTGTATAAAATATAAAAATTAAAGGTAATACGATTTAGGAACAGAGAAATATTGGAATATTATCAATATTGACTATGCTTATCTTATTCTTCCTTTCTAAATACTGGGTATTCCCCTGTTTATTATAATGGTTTGTGATTATATTTTTATTCCTCCTTTATTTGTGCTCCCTGTTTGCCCCGAAAGCAGTCAGTCAGAATGAAAATCAAAAACAGAAACTGAAACAGAGACAGTCAGAGTCAGAGTCAAAGTCAGACAGCAGCTGATAAGCCGCGATGCGGATGTGAAAATGTTCATGGGAAAAAGAGGCCCAGAAATAAACACATTTACTCCCTTATAAATGTATATATTTTCATATACCAATATTTGTAAGAATGTGTTGAAATATATTAACTATGTATAATTGACCCCTATATCTTTTATTTTCATTTCAGGTTGCGATAACCAACGTTGACCGGAATCAAAGGTGAGCAGAAACATGAAAACCTAATGGAAATGGTGTACATTTTTTCCAACCATTTTTCCATGTTTGTTTTTCTTTTTTCTTCTTTGCGGGTTTTCCTTTTCTTTCTGAAGAGTGCCAAGTTTTTGTCACTTGGCCCCCGGCGATTTTGAACTTGTTCCACTTTGGCAGCGGAAATTTTTGTGTGGGAGGAAGCTTTATCTTTGCATTCATCTAGTCTGCCAATAGACTGCGGTTCTATTCTACTCTCTAGGCGTAGATAAAACGCCAAAATTGTTCCTTTTGAGTTTTGTCTTTTTTGCCTGCCAGCTGTGCTCAATTCTCTTGGAAAAAATTAAAGAAAAAATAAACGAAAAACCTGATGCTGGAATATAGCAGATACTCGAATGAACAAACGGCTTGGTCCAGTTCTTGAAGTGGAGTCCAAAACGAGTTTTTCGGCACTTGCCCGACCGCTAATCCCCGCCTCTTAAATGCCTATATAGTATACGTAAATCATTAGAGTTGAGTTAGGTCTGGTTTTCTAGTTGATAGTTGGTTGGCCAGGCTAAGTTAAAGCCAAGAAAGAAACGCATAAAACAAGAAAGCCTCTAGGCCTCAAATACCCCGAGGTTTGTTTTTATTTTATTTTATTATTTTTTTCCAGCTAGCAGTTGTTGACTTTTTAAGCATTTCGCATATGTGTGTGTGTGTATTTTCTTTATGACCGCATAAAATCCGTTATTATATCTCTTGACATGTTCCCCAAACTGGTAATAAATTTACTGTGCATATCCACAACATCTAACAGCTAATTGACCGATCTAAACGATTTCGTTTGAAGGCTAAAATGGAAACATAAAACTAAATCACTAGAAGAGCTATATTTTCAAAGTTAATGGCTTAAAGTTCGTTTGTATATACAGAACACACTAAAGAATAAAGTTTTGCTAAAAGCCAAATAGAAGTTGAAATGCTTTTTGCAAATAACAGTGAGTTTTATAAGCTCTTTAAAATATCTGAGGCTAAATACTAAAATTACAAGAACTTTCTGTTTTAAAGTGAATTTTTTTATAAGCTATTTTGTTTTATTTTAGTTGAAAACTTATATAGTCTTGTTATTTGTAGCTTTTTTATATTCAATTACTCTGAAATTTATAGAGCTTATTTTATAATAGTTTTCTCTTTTTCAAAATAAGGCTTTTAGAGTGTTTGTTTTATCTGTTTTTTTTTGTCGGATTTCGTTGGATAAATTGAATTAACATGTTGCCTGCGAGCCACACGCAATGCAGCTGTCAAGTCCGGTCTGGCTTTAGCTTTTTGGCTCTTTGTGATATAGCCAATTTGTACACGGGAAGGGAAAATTCATTGATGCATTGCCACTGGCCATGTATTACCCCTTCAATCCCTTTTCGGCTTTCCCGTGATGCATTCCTTGGATCTTTTGTTGTTTAATGTGAAAACGTGTTCCAATCACCTGGGCCACATGCTGGCTACAAAGATGGGGGATAGCTGTAGACAATTGCAGTCAAAGTAATAGGAATTTATGTTTAGTTGAAAAAAGTCTTAGAGTCTTATTTGTGTTTACTTTAAAATGTTGAGAATTTTTGGTACCTATGACTAAACATTTATTAACAAATATATTATACAAAATAATATTTATAAGGGCTAAATCGACATTAATTTATATACTTTTAATTAATTAATATATTACCATTATAAAATAAAGGGAATGTCACTCAAAGTATGCCAGATTTTTAATTTTTTATAACTTTGTAGGGTATCCTAATTTGGGTTAGAAGCTGGTAACACTGTGAAGAAGACATTTCCTACCTGTAAAATCATCTATGTTTTTGATCAGCATCAAAAGTCAAGTGATTTAGCCATATCCATAAGAAAAAAATATACCAATCTCCTTTAAAATTTTATACAATTGAAAATTGAGTATGCAGGTTTAGATATCTTTCCGAATTGAAAATATTGCTTTATTGACTTATGAGATTCTTTAACTAAACACAAAGTTCATACAAAAATATCGATAAATATTGAATATTTTAACCTATGATCGACTTCCGATTCGATCCTATTCTTCAAATGCAAAAGGCAAGGGTATACAAACTTCGGATACCCCGATGTTAGTTTCCTTTTTAGTCTGAAATGCATTTAAAAATATTATGTTGGTCTTCCTAAAGTTAGTTTCTTTCTTGTCTGAAATGCATTTAATGTTATTATTATGATTATATATTTTTGACCTTTGGTGTACAAAAGGTAGATGGATGAATGACACACGCGACAAGTAGCCAAGCGCATCTGTTGGGGTTTTGCCTTTGCCTTGCTTTTTGTGAGGGGGCCAAGGGGACTGGGGCAACCCTTCAATGCCGCCTAGACAAGCCCTCGGCACGTATGGTGTATCCGATTTCATGACTAATTATAAGGGAACCGAGCCAGCAGCAGCGGGTAAGGCGAGAAGGTTAAGCGCCTTCCTTCAATGGAATTATGCGGATTATATTTTTGTTCTTGACTGTTTTTTCGTACGCCCTGCCACTGGGCGAGGCCAATTTCTGTTGCCTTTTCGCCTTTTTGGTCATTAATGAAGTAATGGAGCTGGTCGCCACGCCATCCAACCATCCAGCCAGCCAGCTGTCTTTGGGGATCCGAAAAGGGTGAAGCCCCGGATTCGTTATTTGGTTTCATGCATAAAATAGCTGCACATAAGTGCAAGCTGCAGGCAAGTGCAGCATGAAATGCTGATGAAAATTTAATGAAATTGCATTGGAGCCTGTGAAGCAGAGGAGCAGCAGCATATCCTCATACTATTTTATTTTTATTTATTTTTTTTTCTTGCCCTCTCTGCCCCAGTTGTGGGATGAAATGCAATTTTGCACGGCTAGTTTTTGGAGTGGCAAAATGGAGAAATATAAACACACCGCAACACTCTTTCATTTTAATAGGTGTAAAAGCCTTAAGTTTATGAAATTATGTTGCCAGGCACTGGGAAAGTATTGTAAATTATCATAAAATAATTCAAATAAGAGAGCAAGTACCAGAAGAACACAAGTTAGAAATGGTATAAGTACCTTTATTTAAAATATAATCGAGATTTTATTTTGTGATTAAGAAATAAAAAAATTGAGAACTAAAGAAAAAGTTAATACGGAATTGAGGGGAATTTTGTACACGTTCCTCGATAATGTACTTCGAAAATACGTCCTCTCTTTTTATTATTTTCCTTCTAATTGACCTTAAAATTGTTCTTGCAAGATTTAAATATATACAAACAGTATGCTAAGTAATATATATTATAATTTATCAAGTAAATATTCCTTAGATTTTGTTAGTGTAACTATGAGTTCAAACTTACACTCTTATATTATGTATCCGCAGTGTAAAATCAGTTGCCTTGGCAAGCTGTTGCATAAATCAACTTCACCTGCGAACGAACGCTCTCTCGGTGTGTGCAGGTATTTGTTTTTACTTTTTTTTTTTTTACCTGGGTGCGTGTGTTTGTGTTTTAGATAACTCAGCGTTAAGCGCCCGCTTGAAACTATGTCAAGCCTTCCCGGACACATAGATATACATATATGCTATATACATACATATTTTCCAGTATATATCTACAACACTAATGCCGACATTAACCCCCACAGCTGCCGCTGCTGCTGTTGCACCCGAAGTGGCAGCTTCTGATGCTCCCCAGCTCCTCGTGTGTGCTCTATAAAATATTTGTTTAAACTTGCACTACTCGCACCCACCTCTATCTCCAAGCACACAACACACACACAGATATTTTCCGGTGTTGATAAGCACACTTTCCTCGCCCGCCTCTTGAGGCAACGCAATGGGTAATCACAACTTAAATGAGTAGTTTAATTTTGTTCAAGTGTAGAGTGCCGAGAGATGCATCGTCTCTTGAGAAGGGAGCAACACAGAGAGACATTAGCAGTCGAGGCAATCATTTTCCCTTCACTTGAAAAAATAAACTTCAAAGGCAATTATTTGTTTACTTAGGAACAATAGTTTTGAGATTGAAAACAATTCTAGCGAATTGTGTAAAAAATCAAATTTGCCGAGTTGCATAAATGATTTTTCTGTTATTAATCTGTTAAAGTTAGCAATATTGTCAGGAATCAGCTTTAAGCTTGGTCTGACTCAATAATTTCTTATCTCTTTACGCTGAACTTATTAAATATTTATACATTTATTATAGTGTAATGAATATTTAAGGCATTTAAACAACAGTGCTTAAAGGTAGCAAAATATTTTCCTAAGTGCTTGATGTTTTTATAACCTCTAGTTTATATACACACTCGGAGGTATTGTTAATGTATTTTTCCTTCCAGTGTTTTTAAGAAGATATAGAGTCAGAGACGACTTGCTTTATGACCAACCCGAGTAGCAGGTTAAAACTGCTGTTTATTGTATACCTCTAAATTGTTGTTTATGTCTGCATTCAGACAGAAACTGCAGTTGCAACAGCCAACTGCAACTGCAACTGCAACTGCAGCAGCATTAGCAGAGGTAGCAAACATCAGTCGGAGACTCGTCAAGAACCTGACAATTTGCGCTTGTCTCCTCGTCTGTGATTGTGTGTTGTGCAAAAGAAGTTTGCTGTAGTGGCACTGGCAGTAGCAATAAAAGTGCTAAAAAGTTCCATGCCCCCAGACTGCATCCTGTTGTCAAGTCCTGCCCACAGACAAATTTTTAATCTTTTAAAACTGAGCTGCATTGTTGCCGAGTCTCCTCCTCAGAGTGCTGCATTTGAAGAGTTTTGCCAGGGAAAGAGTGGAAGTCCACCACCAAGAATCAGTACCGCCAGTTCCTCCTTCTCGGCTGTGTCCTTGCATATTCCTGGGGCCTAATGAGAGCATTATAACTTTGTGACAAACTTTGTTGTTGTGGATGCGGGCGATGCTAATGAGAAAAGGAGGTTTCACCAGCTTAAAAAAAATAGGAAAAGAAAATTGTATTCATTAAATGTAAAATATGGTTAAAATTCTCTTGAACGGACAGCTAGAGGTTCTAGG